AGACAAAGTCAGGATTGAAGCCCTGGTCTGAGTCCAAAGCCCCCATTACTTTAGGCCTCCAAGCTGTCACATGCATGACCAGCTGGCACTCCCTCTAACTCCAGGTGATGTGCACTGGCCTCTGAGCCTGTATTCAACATACAACTTCTCCCTTTCCTGCCTTCTTCCTCTCCGCTGCTCCTTTCTCCCCCCTGTCCAAAGCCCCACAACCAGACTTAGCCAGACTTCATAATCAGGGGACCACATGGGTTGATGCCTTAGCTTTGAGTTGATAGCATGCAGCTCAGGGTAATTCCCACTATGGACCTCCCAACAGTTCCAGATCCTCCTAACCAGGTATCAGCATGTCTTCCTTAAACTCACCCAAGAAGACAGTGGTTCTGAGATTATTGCATAACAAGTTACTTTTTGGGGCAAAATTCTTTAAAATAAATTTAAAAAATTAAAAGCAAATACTTGAAAAGTCAAATTAAATATCACAGGGGGAAAAAAGAAACAAAATCATGAAAAAATGTGGTCAATCATTAGCAGGGAGGTTGAAAAGACACGCTCCAATTGCTTTAAAAATGCACAGAACCCAGGTCTCCTTAAAATAGTTTTGCAAAGTACATTGAGAATTCCGTGCAGTAATATGAAACACAAGTCTCCTCTGTGCCACTGAACATGCTTCAGCTGGCTGAACTGAAGGAGCTTGACATTAACCCAAGGCTCTACAAAACAAAACAGAAAAGCACAATGGAGTTGCAGTTGCAAAGCTGCCCCAGATGTGTACATTTTCTGCTCCATTAAAATAACTTGGATGAGAGGCAAAGCACATTTGGTCCACAGAAAGAGGGAGTTAGGGGAGGGCCAGGGAGAGCTTCACTGTAGTCCTCCCACTCCCCAGTTTTGCCTCCCCTCTAAACCTTCCTTCACATGGCTTCTAGTCTGTCTAAATGCAAGTATGGGATATGAGGATGATCTGGCTTTGACATCTGTCACCCCATTGTTGCCAGGGTTGATTTGCCTGATCTGGCTGGCTAGGCGAGCTTCCCTTTCCTCCCTCACCCATTTACATCTCTCCTGAAGCTGTGCACTCCGTGGAAGTGGGTGACCTTCCCCCCAGAGGAGAGGACCACACCGATCTTCAGTCAAGGGTATATGAGTAGTTGCACTTCCCTGCTAGAACCTCCAAACAAGCTCTCAAATATGACCCCAAACCTTCCAGGACTTCGCAGAGCCAAACTGCTTTGCCATAAGTTTTAGTTTTCTTAACTCTGTCATGGAGTTGAGACATATTTCAAGGGTTCAGTGTAAAATTAATTGAGATCGTATATACTTGGTGCCTGGCATGCCAGGTTTATATTATAGTATGCTTTGGAGGAAAAGTAGTTACCATAGTTATCATCACTGAATCCAGGTCATATGAGGAGAGATAGATGAAGGGGGTGAAAATGTCTGGGCTGAAAACAGACAAGATCTTAAGGAGAGAGCCTGGCCAAGGGCACGTACGTCTGTTGCAGGTTCAATCCCTGCCCCAGTCAGGATGTGAGCAGGGGGCAACCAATTGATGTGTCTCTCTCACGTTAATGTTCCTCTCTCTCTCACTCTCCTCCCCCCCCCGGCCCCGTCTCTTAGAGAATGGAAGGGACAGGGGGGGGGGGGGAGTGAGAGAGAGAGGAACATTAACGTGAGAGAGACACATCAATTGGTTGCCCCCTGCTCACATCCTGACTGGACAGATATATATATATATCTCCAAGAAAAATATATCCTCACTTGTCTGGTAAAGATTAAAAAAAAAAGATCCTAAGGAGAGAGGATCCCAAGTTTTCCCATATCTGAAGGGCTGACATGAAACTGTTGGTGGTGAAACTAGTCTGGCAGCTACAAGATGTAAGATTCCACCTTAGTGTAAGTAAGAAAGGCCCTTCTAACAGTCTATCAGTAGTTTCCCAAAGTTAAGGGGTGGCAGTCAACTTCCAGACATTAGAACTCTATCAGAGGAACCTGGATGACCATTTGGCAGGGGTACTAAAGAGAAGATTCAATTACAATTTGGTTGCAATTGACATTTTTAACCACCTCTGAAATCTGTTCTTTTGAACTGTCTTTACTTGCCAATCATAAATCACCAATGTCTTGAGTTTCTGGTACGTGTAAGGCCTGGGGCTGTGGGCTCCAGATCAAAGAGGTACTCTGATGGTTTTCTCTAAGGCAGAGGAAGCACTTAGTAGGCTCTCCTTGAACCTATGTTATGGTAAAAGGCTGGCTGTGAGAGTCACCCAGGAAGCAGAAACTCTTGGTTGCTCTGAGGCTGCCCAAGGGTGTTTCTTGGAGTGTCCTGTACCTGTCGGTCCTCCTCTAGAATCCATTCTACACACCTACATGCAAAACATTTGAGTCTATGTTTACTCTGTTGGCATTCATTTCATTGTTTGTTCTTTTCTTCCTGGGTTCTTGGGAAATGGAACTGCCTCCTTGTGAGAATTATTTACACTGACTCGGGTGGGGAATTTGTTTGAACTTGAGGGTGCAGTGGTATTTATTACGTTCATGAATGTGCCTGTGTTACAAGGAGTGGAATCAGGGTTCTGTCCTGTGGTCGCTGGGAGTGGGAAAGACAGAGCTGGGATTACACTCCAACTCTGAAATGGACAGAGTTTCAAAAGAAACCATGCAAAAGACTTCCTATCTGTGTTCTTTGTGTCTTTATTTAATGTATTCATTCTTTAAGCATTTACTTCCCAGCCATGTGGGAGGAACCTGGGATGTGGAAATTACTCAGCCTTTCTGTCACCTCTCAAATAACTCGTTCTAATGCAGGAAAATAAAAGGTTCTGGGACAGGATAGTAGAAAAAGACTGCCTGTGCTTGAGGAGAGGCAGTGGTTAAAAAAGGCTTCACAGTGAAGATGGCACTTGAGGTGATCTGCAGGGGACGCTAAGGTGACCGTGCACTCCAGAAGGAAATACTTCCCAGGATGTGGGCAGAGCAAGCACAAAGGCTTGGGACCTCATAAAACATGCTAGCTTGGGAAATATCCAATAGTTTAAGGTGTCTGGGATACACTGTGTCCAGGAAGGTGGTAGGAGATGAGACTGGTAATATATTTAGGGGTCACCCTCATTTAGATGGGATAGGCGGTTGGGCATGGTGCTACTTGAAATTACTTTGCAAACATAGTTTAGAGCTCCATGGACCTTCATTAAATTTTGCCAATTCTGCATGATCCATCTCATGAATTGTCAGAAATCCTGCTATACATTATTTTCCCTTGATAACCATAGGAGTGTATTATTAAAATAAAAACTCACTTAAGATCAGTCCAAAGAAATACTAATTACGAATATAAACCTGATGGAACAATAGAGTGGCCCTCTTCTTACCACAAGTGTGTGGGGCCACATAGGGCCAACATCTGCATCAGGACAACTTGTGAGCATGTCTGACTGGCACCACATACACACCAGGGCTTAGTTAAAGGAGCTTGGCCTGTACATTTGGATCTGGGAGGTGTGTGTTGATGGGGTTCATCTGTATAATGTATTTCCTAAATCACAGTAAGATAGTTTGGGGATTTGGTTTTTCTACTTCATCGTCCGTATATTTGATCTTAAAGGTGAGCACAGTGCTTTTAAAAGAGTAATGTTTAATGTTTTCTGATTATAAAGTCATATCTGCTTACTCTGGAAAATAAATACAAATGTACAAGTATAAAACACAAAAGAAAGTAAAGCCACCCACCACTATTAAGAAACAATGTTTTGGTGCATTTATTTTTATAGGTTGAGTTTATTAAGATGAATTAAAAATATATATATATATATATATATATATATATATATATATATATATATATATATCATAAACTTGACCAGATTATAAGAGTTTTGAGGACAAGAAAGGTGTATTATTCATATAGTGACCTAATTTTGGCAAGTTCTGATAGATACAATGTCTAACTTGAGTTCTATTTATTATTATTCACCCAAAATTCAGTGAGTCCCTACCAAGTGCCAGCTCTGAGCTGGGCACTATTTACTTCTGAGAGATAAGTAGCCATATGTGATACAAAATCCACCCTCACAGAGGCGGGAGTGAGAGGGTACTGACCCTCTTTGATATGAGATGGGGTTTTTATGAATGTGGAGCCCAGTCACCCTCTTCCAGCTGGTGTCCATGGCCTGACTGGGAAGACCAAAACCCTCCAGGATCTCTTAGGCCTGTGATAATAGGGACAGACCAAAGACTGCTATTCCAGAGTCCCATTCCTGAACTTTTCAAGGTGCTCCCAAAATGCCAGCCAGCCCTGGTCTTGCTTTCCTAAGAACACCCCTGCATTTCCCACTTCATTCCAACTGGTCCTGCCCAGTTCAGAGAAGGGTGCTCTGATGGAAGGAGACTACAGAGGCACCCGGCAGCCCTGGCTGAGAGCAGCCCACAAGAAACCTTTGCCTACACCAGCCAGCTGGTCTAACTGGAAATCCCAGATAAGCCCCAGTACTGGTCAGAACTAGTTTGACAGCTCTGGGGGAACTTTTCTGGGGGACTGACCCTCCCCACAGCAGGAGTTGGCAGTTTTGCACAAAAAAAAAAAGGGAACTTTTTTTGAGAGGAGTGTCTAGAATTATTTGAAACACTAAAATTCTGCTCCATTGCAAGTGCAAGTTTACAGTTAGGGATCCAAACAAGATTGCCCGCGCCCCCCACCTTCTCCCCCGCGCGTGCCACATTCATTCTCTCGCAGTCTCGCCTCCCCTTTGCAATGCCGGTTTTTGTTGTAATGCAGTTTGTTTTGCGGTGCGATTGTTGAAGCCACATAATCTTTCCCAAACGCGACTTTTAGTTAACGCATTATTTTCTGCAATGCTATTATTATTATTATCGTCATCATTATTGCAATTCAATCTCTGCCCTTTCCCCTCCCTCCTGGAGACGCACTCCGGCTGTGATTGCTCGGGTCTGACTTCGCGAGTGGCAGCGCGCTTCCAAACCCCCTCGTCAGCCCCCCGCCCCCCTTTCCCCTCCCTCTCTTTTCCGCGCCCAGGCCAGAGCAGCCGATTGGCAGAGCGCAGCTTTCAGGAACAATAACAGTGGGGGGACCCCCGGCCCGGGGAGCCGCCCCCCGCCCCCGGCCCGGCCGCGCGGCTCGCGCCCCCGCCGCCGGGTCCCCACCTCCGCGCCGCCGGGCCCGCCCCGCGCCCACCATGTACGCCTTTGTGCGGTTCCTGGAGGACAACGTCTGCTACGCGCTGCCCGTGTCGTGCGTGCGCGACTTCAGCCCCCGCTCGCGTCTGGATTTTGACAACCAGAAGGTGTACGCGGTGTACCGGGGCCCCGAGGAGCTGGGCACCGGGCCCGAGAGCCCCCCGCGCGCCTCTCGCGACTGGGGTGCGCTGCTGCTGCACAAGGCCCAGATCCTGGCGCTGGCAGGTGAGCGAACGGGCTGGGGGGTAGTAGATGGGGGAGGGGGGTGGGAAACGGTGGGACCCGGGCGGGGCCGGGACAGGGAGCTGGATGGAGACCGGAGGTTGGGGTGAGCCGCTGCTCGCTCAAGCCTCCTCTTCCTGATCCTTAGGCTTTCCTTTGGGGGCAACAGGGTGTCTCTAAAAGGCCAGACCAGTTAAAAATACCGGATGGTCCCCTTTGTCTTCCCCTTCTCCCCGACACTCCCGCGCTGTCAGTCTGTCTTCATCTCTCTGTGTCTGTCCTCCTTTCTGTTTCTATTCTGCTGGCTCTTCACTTTCCCTTTCTCTCCCTGCCAGTGCCAGTCTGTGCGTTCCTTTCTGTCTCTCACCTCTTTACCTCTCACCCAGTTCCTTCTCTCTGCTCCCCCGTCTCTAAGTTTTCTAGCTCTCTGTCTCCCTCCCCGTTAAGGCCCTTGCTACCATCTAGGAATGAGGAAGCAAGGTGGATGTTGTCAGACTCTTCCAGATGGGAGTCCCTCTTCCCCCGAGGGAAGCTATGACACCCTTGTCCAGTCCGGGCCATCACTGGACGGGATGAGGAGGCCTTGATCACTGGGCACCCCTCTCCTGGGCCTCTTGCTTGCCAGGTGGTGGAGGTAAGAAGATAGTGACTCTCAGCATCCCTCAGCCTCCACACCCCCTTTGAATCTCCTGGAAGGCTCCCTGATGAGAGCCCAGGGCCAGGAAAGCATTTCTAGGTCAGGATACGATGTGGGCCTCCCATTCCTACTTCCCCAGGATCCTGCAACACAGACAAGGCAGGTGCCTTTCTTTCCATTCGACAGATGAAGATACTGAGACTCAGTAGGGATAGCACCAGAAACTGCCACTTCAACCTCCCACCCCAAGTTCGTTCTGCCACGCTCAGCACCTTTCCCTTTGTGAAGAGAAGTAAGTGGACGCTCTTCCCCAGCGAGCTGTTAGAGGCTTGCGCATAGAAGTGAGAGGAGAAGGGAAGTATCACTTCTGTTTTGGGGCCCAGCCTCTTAGCTGTTGCTGGTAAGGAGTGTGCACCTTTGAGCGGGCAGAGAACGTTAGCCACCCTCCGCTTGGAAGGGAAAACCAGAAGTTAGGAACTAACTGAAGATATTGAGATATTGCTAGTATTTTGTAGGTTTGAGACCTTTCCTATATTTTCCAACTTTCTTTGCCTTCTCTCATTTAGCCTAACGGAGGAATCCAGTGTACATCGTATTTACATTTGGCAGACAAGGAAACAGAGAAGTGACTTGCCCAGGGTTCCAAGGCCAATTAGCAGGAGATCCTAGCTCTGGCTCCTGAGTTGTTCCCTTCCCACCAGCTCCTGTTGCCTCTGGGAAGGAGGCTTGCAGGCCTTGAGGAGGGGAGCAAAACCGGAAACTAATTGGTCAGGGCCCTTTTGGCAGACTGTATGCTCACCACCTCCAGGACAAATCTGGGACACAGGGGTGTAGATCCACTCAACACCTGGGGATACCTGAGGCCAGAAAAGCAGAGTGAGGGGAAGTGTGTAGAAAAGGGAAACCTTTGTGGCTGATTAACTTTTATTTTGTCTGTTTACTTGCTTTTAATTACCTGAGGGAAGGGATTAGGAGCTAATTCCCCAAGAGTGTAGACCTGAGGAAGTTGTAACTAGGTTGTAACCTTAGCTTGCCTTTGGCTGAAAGCAAAGAAAGCTTGCTTCTCGGTGGCTGCCTTAGACTCCTAGGTCTGGGGACGGGAAGTGATGTGGGTTAGGGGTCAGGAGTATGTGTGAGCGTTAATAAGTTAAGAGCTGCTTTCCTCGGTTAGTGTGTTCATTCATCCATTTATTCATTCAGCAAACACTAACCCTGCGCTTGGCTCTTCAGGCACCGCTCAGAGGCAGCTTAGGCCACTGAGTCTGATTTTAAAAATCAATGGAAGCCTGCATAAGTAAGACACGTGTACCGTTGTTATTGGTCTGAGGAGCATACATCATGAATTTATAGGCAATTCATCCTCTAAGTTGGAATGCTGATAAATATCTGGGGTTATTAAAAAATATCTAGGCAACACCTGGAAATTGGCAGAATATATCCAGAGGAGAGGCAGGGCTCCAGTTTGAGCAAAGTGAGTTGCAAAGCACTTTCCTGACTCTCTTCAGATTTTTTTTTTCTTGGGAGGAGAAAAGAAGAAAGAAACCAACAACTTGAGGTTGGCGGACCACATTTTGAATTCCAATCAGCTGGTTAATTTTTAAATTGGAGCCCACTGTCCTGGCTGCAGACCCAAGGGGAGTGCCAGGTGGGTTTGGGAAGTCATTTATGCAGGAAAAGCTCTCTTGTGTGCCTTGAAACCCAAAATTGACTTGAGTGTGGTGGCTCTTGAGAGCTGTTTGCAGTGACATCATCTTAAAGAGCTTGCCTTCTGCATCTCCCAGATGTAAGTACCACCGTGTTGTGGCGCCAAATGTGAGAGGGTGAGCCCTCGGGATTGGGGGGTATGAATGGGGAAACAGAACCACCTTATGTTTGTGAATCAGCTATGAGTGACTGAACCCTGTCTGGCACTGCAGCATGGTTTCAGAGGCAGTTTGGGGGCCAATGTATGGATTTTGGTGAGAAGTGTGTTACTGAATATTGGCCTAGGCCAACCCAGAGCCACCTGCAAGTGTACCTCTTCCTCCAGGAAATGTCAAAGCCAATGCCATGGAGCTCTGCATCCCCCCCTTCGTGATCTTTTTCACTGTGGTTTTAGTGTGTGTCAGACCCTAGGGCCTCGCCCTTTTCTTGCCAAACTGATTTCAGTTCAAGGGGGAAAAAACAAATCTATCCTTTCTGACAGTCTTGCCATGTATGTGCCTGCGCATTATCTGAGGATTCTTCCTGTGACTCTGATGGCAGAGATCACTCTTATTATTTCCATTTTATAGATGAAGCTCAGAGACCTGCCTTCAGTGTGCAGTTAATCAGTGATGAAGCCAGACTTGGAGCCCAGGTCTCCCAGTGCTAGCCCCCCACTTAGCAGTCTTCCTTGTAAAGTAGTTGATGTCCCTGTCAGCCACACAGCAGCTGGAGAAGAGTGAAAGATAGTGGGAGAACTGTTCATGAAGCAGAAAGTTCAAGACAAGTTTTGAGCCAGAGGACAGTTTTGATTTGGTTTTCAAGTCCATTCTGATCTTCTTCTTCTTCTCCTACCAGTCTCCGTCCTGCAGAGCCCACAAGCCTGGCCCTTTCCCCTTCGGTTGTCATTTTCCCAAGGAAATCTCAAAGGAGCTTGCCTTCTCCATGGGGAGTCAATGTAACACAAGACTTGGCTTACCTTTGGACTGTGGTCTTTCCTGACTCACTCTTATTTATCTGCCGAACAGGTTGTGAAAGTGAGAGCTACCCATTTGGAGAGCTTACTGTTATTTAGTTGCAGTCCAGCCTGCTAGTAGGGGCTCATGGTATTGAATTTTGTGGTCTTTACAGGGCCAAAACTGATTTCTCTACACTCAGAATCTTTGTATGTGGGTGTGTGGTTCTTTTTTGTTGTTGTTGTTTATTTGTTTGTTTTTTGTTAACCCTCACCCATGGGATATTTTTTCCCACTGATTCTTAGAGAGAGTGGAAGGGATGAGGAGGGACACATAGAGAGAAACATTGAGGTGAGAGAAACACATCTATTGGTTGCCTCCTGGGCCAGGAATCAAGCCTGAGATCAAGGCACATGCCCTTGACTGGAATCAAACATGGGATCCTTCAGTCTGAGGGCGGACACTCTACTGAGCAACTGGCCAGGCCTAAATCCAGAATCTTAAAATTCTATGCACCTACACTATGTTGTTATTATTTGAGTGTGCTAAATTCCTCTTGAGGTCAAGTGCCTCTTACTCCTTCTGTATGCCAGGCCCAGGGCTGTGATAAGCAGATGCACCAATGCACCAACACTTCTGAGTACTGCGATTAAAAGGACAGAGTGACGGAGGGGAAATCAGCTAACTTTTCCTGCTAACTTTTCCTAACTTTTTCTGTAGGTTTTCTCTCAGGGGCAGAGGAATAAAGAAGGAAGGGCATTACACTCAGAGTGTGTGTAGACTGAGGAACCCAGGTACATGCTACAGAGAGGTGAAGCCAGGCACTGGGGGCGTGCGGAGAAGGGACCAAGTCTCAGTGGGCTTTTCTTCCCAGCTCCACTCCCCCTGCCTGCACTCAGGCTGCACCAGTTTTCACTCATCTAAACCTAGTGCAGCAGCCTTCAGTTGACTGCCCTACCTCCAATCTATTTTCTAAATTGCCGTCAGAATAATCTGAAACACTGACTTGGTCAATTCGCTGTTCCCCTTAGAACCTTCAGCAGCTCCCTGTTGCTTGCAGAGTAAACTTTCAGCTTCTTGGTCGGGCCTTCACGGCACCCAGCCCAGCCCAGCCCCACCTCACTTCTCCAGCTCTACCCACCCTTCCCGCTGCCTCTAGGTCTGCAGTATCTTGTGCCACCTTGAGAACACACCCTCAGGCATTCCTTTGAGCCAACCAGGATGGGTTAATCATTGTAAGACATGGACGGGGCCTCTGCCCACGGAGCTCACCTTCCAGTGGGAAAGGCAGACATGTGATGTGGGTCTGGTGTGCTGAGCTGAGGGCTGTGATGGAGGAGTGGACAAAATGTATTGCGCAGGGGCGTTCCCTGAGCTACCCTCTCCCCTTCTAAGAGGCTCCCTCCTCCTCGGAGCTTTCCTTTTCTTTTTTTGCTTGTTCCTTGCTTATGGACCTTCGCATTTTGAGTCTTGGTTTGGTTAGTGGTGAATGTTGCCAACAGTGTGCAGTTAATCAGTGACGAAGCCAGACTTGGAGCCCAGGTTTCCCAGTCCAGGCCCCCACTTAGCAGTCTCCCTTGTAAAGCAGTGATGTCCCTGTCAGCCACACAGCAGAGTGAGTGGAAGGATGGGAAGAGACACACAGAGAGAAACATTCACTGGAGAAGAGTGAAAGGCAATGGAAGAAGAACTGTTCATGAAGCAGAAAGTTCAAGACAAGTTTTGAG